TTGCATTTCGTGTTCCTCTGTTTATTATTAGTATTTTTTCTGTAAACTGAACAAATTAAAATGATTTCCACAAACAGGTGCCGAAGCGAAATGTTAATTGTTAAATCATCAAGTTTCTTCTCATTATTTTTTTCTTTCTGTTTGTTTAATAACGAAAACGATTGGCGTTTTTCAGTGAGAAAAGGTAAATGAAGATAATGCCAGTGCCGCGAAATATAACGTGTATAACAGTACCTTTTCGGATCACAACTTTATACAGTTTTGATTGGACTGCCTCTTTTCCTGGTTTCATGGGGAAAATGAGGAAGAGAACAAGTTGAACGATTGCCAAGCATGATCCAATTGCATTTGGAACCTGTAAAAGTTGAAAATTTAGAAAGTTTAACCAGATTGATTTAGTTCAACGAATAAAGCCAAAACCCGGAAGAACGTTGAACAACAAGTGGAACAGCTTGTGAGAGCTTTTTTAAAACTTTCTTGAAACAATAAAATTTGACTCTGCTTTTTTTTGGAGACACAAAAAATGGAAAAAAAAACTTTTCACGACAATACAAATTTGACATACAGATACTGAATTTGAAATTGAGAACGGCTTAACCGCTTACAATAATGTAGATGTCATGCATAAAGATGCCGTAGAAGAACCATTCGGCAGACACCACAAAATTTCCTATGCTCATCGGAAGTGGTAAAGTTTCACAGCTCCGTTTTTGAAGTACAACTCGCTAAAGTCAAGAAAAAATATGTTGAAGGAAAAGAGTAATTGACAAATAATTTCTTCTTTTCTTTCCTTTTTTTTTTTTCAGTAGAATTATGCTTTAGTGCTTCCAAAACGCGGTCAAATCTTGAGGTAAAATTAGACAGTTTCAAAGAGGGATTTATGATGTTTGGATACTTACCAAACCACCAAGCGGTGAACCAAAACAGACAATGTTCAGCGTTGATGAGGCAAGGCCAAGCAAATCGAGTGCAGCGAGCTGATAAATTTGCACATAAACCATCATAGAGGTTTCAGCGATTATCACACCGAGAAGTGTTAAGTTTAAGTAAAACTGCAATATAAAAACCGTTATTTTTTTAACAGTGGTACAAAAAACTGTCATTTTAACAGCTTTTTTTCTTATACTTTTTATAAGATTTTCACCTGTTTTGGAAAGACTACAAGAATTTATTATAAAACTTTGGTGATTTTATACAAACCACATTTAAACTCTCCTAATTATATATAATATTAATAACTTAATTAACCTACTCTTGGTTTAGTGTAGTAATAATACAGCGTCAAGTAGACTGTATTTAGAGTCACTGCTGTTACATTTACAGCGACTATATTTACGTCTCCTTTTAAAAATCCGTAACGAAGCCATAACGATGCACTAAAATGTGAAAATTCAATTGCCAAGGTTATCAAAATTTTATACTTAGAGCTGTTCTGACTATCACACAGTAAAGTCATGAAATGAATTTTTTGAAACCACATACCTCATGACACCGGCCACAAACGGTAATGATGTGAAATTCTCTGTTGACCTACGTTTCCATATTTGGTAACACATTGGTCTTAAAAAAATTTTTTTGGATTACGACTGAAAGTTAAAAATGCAATCTTAACTGCATTCAATGTTTATAGATTACTGAAAGAACAATAGTAAATAAGAGTATAAAAAATTTCTTGTTTTTGCTTTTCAATTATCAACAGTTATATTATGTCTGATTGCAAAGAACTGTGTTTTAAAGTAAACCTTAGTTGTTTTTTTCTTTTTTTTTTTTTTGCAATCTATGCTGCTCCAAAAATACATCAAGCATATGCTTTTCTAACAGTGCTCTTTGCACTTGACCCATCACTGTATCAGTTGAGAATGACGAATTGTACTTTCCTTATCACAAGACGCAAGATTGATAAGCAAATCAAGTAAAATTAATTTAAAGCTGAAAATCAATAAACAACTTAGACTTAAGCGCCAGAAAACAATCAGTAGCACTGTATTTAGGTATTCTTCTATTCTGAAGACCAAAGAACAGTCAAGAAATGTACAACGACATAATTTCCTACAGATTTTTTCCCGCTTTTCTGTTTAGTTGTTCAACTTTCTATTTTTAAATGCTCTTTTTCCAACTAGCCTAACATAGAGCTGAAAAATTTGCTCATTAACGTAAACATTCGTCACTGATACTGCAATTTTTAGGCTACCGTATACTCAGAATAGAATAACGCGCCTTGTAGGAACTTAACTTCCAATAATTAGCACCTGTACAAATGTGTAAAAAATGGATGGTTTTAATAAGAGTTCACTAAATAGTGTTTCCTTTTGCTATCAATAACGACATAAACTAATATCTTAACGTAGCATTAAAAATTTAGTGAAAAAATGTTCTGAATTTCAATACATAAGCAGCACGATAAAATGTTAAAAACAACTATACTTGAAGTTTGAGTGAAATATGACTCTTACTTTTATTCTTTTGATCACAGAATTCATAACCAAACCAGATTATTTGCTATCCCTATCACTCTAGCTCATAGAATACACTAAAGCACATAGATCTACAGTTAAAGTTGTTTCGTTATGGAAAAAATAAGCAACAATTTGAACATCGCATCTCAACGACTTAGTTTTGTTCAGTCCTATTTTTGCATGAATAAAACACAGCAAAAAAAAAACCGCTAAACACTTTGAGTTTGTAAGCCAAATTAACAAGTAATTTGAACGGAGGCAGACAGTAGAGCAATAAAAAAAAAAATAGTCAATTAAGTTTGATTTTAAATCACTTTAAGTCTTCTTCACTCAGCAGTGTACATCTGATAATCCATAATTTTAGTAATTCAAAGTCGTTTAAACTAGGATTATTTAGTAAGCAAGTGTACCGAGAACGAAAGCTTAACAAGCAAAAATACAAGAAAACAACAGGAGGAAAGACTTACATTCCGGTAAGGAAAAGGCAATAGGTACAGCCGACTGAAATCCATGAGAAAATTTGGAGGAATGTGAACTCCATTTTGCTTATTAGTGGAGGGGTAAAGTAGAATAAATAGCTGAAAGTATAACAGATGTCCAATTTACTGTAAACGTAATAAACGCAGTATAAATTTAAGAACATCGAATAATGGTGAGCTTCCAAAGAAAACCGCAAATAATACAATAATACAAAATACTTTTTTGCGTTTAGTTCTGATTATTGATTATATATATATATATATATATATATATATATATA